AATAATAATAATAATAATAATAATAATAAAAAAAAGGATTTATATAATATAAATATTATAAAAAGTTTTAAGTTATAATAAATACCTTATATAATTAGAATCTTATAAGCTTATAACTATAAAGTATTAATATAATTATATAAGATAATAATATAGCTAATATAGTTTATAAAGAAATAATAGAAAGTAAAGATTATAAGGAAAATTAGCCTTATATTAGATAAAACTATAAGGGATAACTAGTTAATTTATATATCTTATTTCCTAGCCTTAGGCTATATAATTTAAGTTATAAGATAATACTATATCTTAGGATACCCGAGGTTATTGCTTATCTACGCTTATTGCTAGTGTGGATAAGATAAGCTCTCTTATCGAGGCAGTGCTCTGTGCGATAAGCACCAAGAACACAAGCCCTAATAGGGTACCCAAATTCCCACATAAATTGCACTATAAAAGAGGTACCCTGGCAGGGCACAACTTTCCCTTCTTCTTAGTTAGAACATGTGGAGTGTCAAGTTGCCTTTCCTCCAATCATTCCGGCTGTGATTAACTTGCGCACACGTGCAACGCCTCTACACATCGTAAGCACAGACAACACTATAACGTGACACGTTCATTCAGAGGTTACTAGGTTTTTCCCCGAAGAATACCCTAACCCGCATTCGGCTAGTTTGTGCGCACCGATGTTTCCACTTAAATCACAACACAACCTTCCTCGCTCTTCACCCACCTTTGCTTCACCCCGCCACGCCGCTCTTGATTGGAGTCGTACAGGCAAAGCGAGGAATCCGAATCCCTTCAGTCGAACCTCCCAGCTCCTCCTCAAGCGCTCGAGCCCGTTCTGCTCCCGCAAGCAAACAATAAGCAAAACATTTCCTACAATACGATAGAAAACAAGGGTCCTACAGATACCTGAGAAGAGATAAAAAATCCTTTAAGTCGTCACCCACAGGCCCCGACACGGCCTCGAGACACGACTACAATAATCCCTGAAGCCTTGGCTTGGGACAAGACTGAGCGACTAGCCGCTCGGTTTATACTGCTGGTTCATTAAAGGGGACCAGTGGTTCTTTTATCACTACTGCTCTACCTACCTCTCTATCTGCCTTACGACCTCTGTGTTTCCTACATTCCATAGGTTCACTTAAGCGTCCGAAGTACCTTCCTCCTCGCGACGCCAACGAACGCTTCTTGCCTCGCACCACCCGTTCCTGCCACGACAGACACAACCCCTGAGGCCTCTCTTCCTCCCCCCCCAGCTCGAGCCCTCCTCATCAACCGAGCCATCCTCACACGACCTGACGACGAAGGCTTCCACACACACTTGGCATCCAACAAAAAAAACAGCATCAGAACACCGGACCAGCATTTCCCTATCCTTGTTACCAACAGAAACCATGTCTGTTACCTCCCAACCCCTTCCGAATGTCCAGGTACGAGAGCCTGCGATAGTCAACTTAAGCCCGGCACCCAAGTGTTATGAGTTCCTTAAAGCGCCAACGCCACCAGAGAAATATCGAATTAAGTTTTGGCATCCCTCCTATAATACCCCACTATTTACCTTGGAAGCCTATGATCATGCCGATGGGGGGATTCATCACGGCCTTGCACACAGCGCTTGTTCAATTTTCGCCGAGAACCGCACCGATGGTTATTTAAGCACGACACGCGATGGCGAGCATGGCAAGCGAGTCCAGGCTGGCTGGGACGCTGTTTTGCCTGCCGCTGCTGCCAACTATTACTTCTATGTCCCTTACCCTCCTGATTTCCCGGACCCTCCCGCTGGGCAATCTCGACCACCATATCGATATCCCCTTGTTACGAACTTCCAAGAATGGAGATTTCAGGGACTGCCGGAGGTCTGGACACGTTGCAAAAGTATACAACATGCGGCTCAGACGATCCAACCTCAGTCTACAATAACATCGGCGATGATCGCACGAGATCAAACATGTCGCGTTACTGCATTTCAGAGCGGCACAGAAGTTGCGCACTTAGTTCCATCACACGAGAAAGACTGGTTTTTCTCAAATCAAATGGGCACATACAATACCGACCAGACGCTAGACACGAACAATCTTTTGCGAGATCTTAAAAATGGAATGCTACTACGTTCTGATATACATTCCGCATTCGATACCCGCGAATTTATCTTCTTCCCGAAAAGCACTAAAGCATTTGTGGTACATATGCTGGTCCCAACGCCGGAAATCGGACAGTTATACCATAATACCCGTGTTGAAATCTCTAAATGTGGTATAGAGTTTCTATTTGCAAGGTTTGCATGGGCATTATTTCCCTTCCTTTCAGTGTTTCTAGGTGGCGTGTCCGAGAGCCTCTTAGTCGTCAGATGGAATGCAGATGGCAAGCGAATTGTCGAGGACGTGACAGATCCGCGGTCGCTGAGACAACAATCAGCGGCTTCCCGCAGCACCTACCAAAAAAAGCGAAGTCGGGCAACTGCAGAAGATTTGAACGACTATGGCGAAAGCGAGGAATCACCGTCCGACTTCACCCTACCAACTTCGGGTGACGATAGTGACTCTAAAAAGAGATTTGGAAAGCGACGCTGCAAATCATTGAACTATTCAATGTATGCGCAAGAAGTCCACATCAACGAGTTACGGCAAGCCGCACTTGCAAAACAGAGACCGGTGGGGTATAATCCGCAACCTACGGGCATAGCCAAGTGAAAGAAGAGCTTGACACATTCCGCTCAGGTCTATCCCGTGTCAATAGATAACAACGCCAGAATGTCTAACGTCGAAGCCGATAGCAACTATCACCAGTCTCTAACAGCAAAAGATTACCACGGCCGCTAGCAGGGAGCAAGCCGCCCCCTCCAAGCTACGTATCTATAGTTCTTAGCTTCTACATCACAATTCAACGCATTAAAACTCTAACTCTAATAAAGCTTTGCTGCTTCTGTGTTCTGTTCCTCTTGTTCTTCCATCGCTTCGCTCCGTACACAACACAGCTACCTGCTGAGGTGCGCAGTGAAGCATCATTATCTGCGACGAGGATATCCTCTCAAAGTGACACTGTCAAAGACACGGACAGCGTTGGTCTCTCTCGGGAACCTGTAGCATATGCTACACCGGGAACGCTGCCCATGGTTCCGCCAGGCCGTAGCGATGACTACAGTTTCTACTTTGCTGCGGTCGGTCCGTTCACTTTCGTCCTCTTTTTCGTACTAGCTGCCGCGTCGACATTCTTGTTCACGTTCTCGACGCTCTGGTTGGAGATTTGGATGGCAGCCGAAGGGGACCCGGCGAAAGAGAGATTCTATTTTTTTACATTTTGGGCTCTGCAGCTCTCCTCTGTGCTAGTTATGCTGTATATTTCACCTATACAAGCAACGTGATGGGGCCCAAAGCAAGCTCAAAGCTTCATTTGGAGCTCTCAAGACTATTCTTCTGGCGCCGTTGGACTACTATACCACCGTTGACTCCTCGGTCCCCACTGGATACATGTCGCAATACATGAACATCATCGACAGCCAGTTTACCAACTCTGTCGGAAATACTGTTGCCTCCATTTTTATCGCTCTATTCCAGTTCATCTTGATTATGCTTGGATCAACCGCAGTGCTCGTTGGCTACCCATTGTTTTCTGTCCTCCTCCTTTAGGTGCAAAGAGTTCTTGTTAGAGCTGCCGTGCAACTTCGGGCCATTGCTATGGTGGGTGGCTGTCATACATGCATGCCGTTATTCATCTGAATCGTCAGTATAGTAGTCAAACGGCGCGGGCACCTCTGGCTCCTTGCCCCCAGGCGCATCCGGGTCCGCCCGAGCGGCCAGAGGCTGCTTCTGCACCGGCTGCTCTGGCAGGCCGGCGGGCGGCCCGGGCGGCAGGCAGTGAGAGCGAATCATGGCCGTCATGGTGCGAGCCCACTCCCAGGGCCGGTCGCGGTCGCCGGGCAGGCTGTTGAAGTACTCCCAGCCCATGATGCCACCAAAGTCGTGGGGGCGGCGGCGGATAATCTCGAGCGTCTGCTGCAGGCTGTCCCAGGCGACGAAGCCGGTGCCGTTGTCCGGGTTGGTGACGAGGCCGACGACGAGGCGGTGGGCGGGCCAGCCGCGGCGCAGCATCATGTCGTACATGACGGTGGAGGAGAAGTCGCCCCAGCCCCAGTAGAACTGGGCGTTGTACCAGGCAATGTCGCGGCCGCGCAGGACCTCGAGCGCCTCGTAGTCGAAGCCGGACAGGTTGGCGGTCGGGTCGAGCAGGCTGGCGGCGACGGGCGCGAGCGTGAGCAGGAAGTCGGGGCCAAAGTCGGCGCGCAGCCGGTCGATGAGGCGCACGATGCCGGCGAGGCTCATGTCCTCCTCGACGTCGAGGTCGAGCCCGTCGAGCGCGCGCGCGCGCACGAGGTCCCGCAGCGGCGCGTAGTAGCGCTCGAACCGGGCGAGCTCCGCGGCGTCGTCGTCCGGGCTGCCGTCGAGCCGCTGGTAGGTGCCCTTGGCGGCGCCGCCGAGGAGCGCGAGCACGCGCACGCCGGCGGCCTGCAGGACGCGCAGCTCGGCCCAGGCGGTCGCGTGGCGCGCATCGTCGGGCGCGTGGTCGTTGAGCGTGAGCGCCGCGGGGTCCTCGTTGACGTGCAGCGCCGCGAGGATGACGTGCGTCACGGCAATGTCGGGCTGCGTGATGAGGGGCAGGATGGAGATGGACTGGCCGTGGCTGTCGTGGAGCGTCTGGTAGTAGGTGATGAGTCGCGGCAGCGCCGTCGGCCGGGCTGGTGGCAGCGGCGACATGGCGGCCGTCCGTCGAGGGGGGGGGGGGGGTTAAGGTTGAGCTGAGGGTTTGCGTGAGAAACCCAAACGCGGGGCGGATCTGAGGCGGCAAGCTCAAGTCACCGTCACCACCCCACCTACTTTTGCGCGTGTGACTCGCAGAAGCATAGAGACAGGTTTGAGAAGGAGGGGTATAGTAGTATATATTTGTGTCAGGATTAAAATAGACAGTCATTCGAACAAATAGCGCAAGTCGCCAAAAATCGTGCTCATCAAGAACTAGCGCTACACGCCGCTACTCGCACAAAAGAGAACCAGTAGGCTCTCCCAAGCCATGATAAGGACCTAGTATTCGAATAAAAAGCCGGTTATTATTATTTATATTGCTTTTTATTAGAAATAGCTATTTCTAATATAATTTCTAATTATTTCTTGATAGTAAATAATGACATTTGTGCTAGCACAGCCCGAATGACTCTGATACAAATGCAAAAAAATATACATTTGAAAAATGGGTACCTGATAATCAACAAGATGGAACATTTCGCCTTCCTTTTCCTTGAGACGCTACACCTATACAACAGCCCGAGGAGGCAACTTCTCGTCTTCAGCAGTGCCGCTCTTGATTGCAACAGAATTGGGCCAGAAATCCTTGATGTTTGTTGTCCACCGAAAATGGAACTGAGGACAGCGACGTTCCTCGAATAGCAATTGCTGTACATTTTTGAAGAAAAGTAGAGTCGAAGAGGGAACATACTACGAATTAAAAAAAAGCAACAAAACAATTCATTCTTCACTGGATCTGTGTGCCGTGTTCATCTTGCACGCAATCAGCATCTGCTTACGTAACTCGGAGCATGCCGAATTTTTAGCAGCAAACGCGCGCGACGAGAAATGGGCCTCAAATCTGCTAGCTGGTCCGTCGCGACGCCTGTCCATCCACGCCGATTTCATCTTGTGCCCTTGTCTCCTCGAGCGTGCATCACACGGCCACCTGCGAATTGCATCAGGCACCACCAATTCAACCACCAAACAGGCGAGCGCGCGTCCAAACGCCACGGCAGCGCGACCAAACGGGCCAGCGCCCGCTCCCTTGCTCCCATCATCCCCAGCCCTGCGATGCCCATCGAGGCACCCACGCGCCCATGATGGAACGAGCAAAACCCCAGGCGTTCCAGTCGAGCTACGCGCCACGCCTGCGCGCCTATAACAACTCGCTCCTCACACCCGTGCTGCCCAGCGCGCCCACCGTCAACCCCCTTTCCCGCATGACCAAGCGCGGCACCACGATAATCAACTATGCCGAGGACGGCTACGACGATATCGAGGAGGATAGTGATGATCCCCGACGCCGACCGACCGGCCTGCGTAGCCTGCGCGCGCAGGACTCATCTAAGAACCTGGACTGGTCCGGCAAGACGGGAAAGGAAACCTTTCAACCCGTCCACCTCCAGCCCATCTGGCGCGACTGGATGGGCAAGACGAGATCGATTCGCAGCGACCAGCAGAATGCGGCCCAGTCCAGCCTACCGCTCACCATGATCCCGATCCGAATTGACCTCGACGTCCCCTCCTTTGTGCCCCATCCACCCTTTCCCCCACCCAACACATCTGGCGTCGACCTCTCGCTGCCGCAGTACCGCCAGCAGGAGATGACGGTGCCCTACAAGCTGCGCGACATCTTTTGCTGGAATTTGCACGAGACTCTCATTACCACGGATCAGTTTGCGCAGACGTTGGCCCAGGACCTGGACCTTCCCAACCGGCAACACATTGCGGCCGACATTAGCAGACAGATTCGCACACAGCTCGAAGAGTATGCCGGTGTCGCGCTGCATCCGCTCTTCCACTCTGATCAGCCTGTCGCGCCGCCGCAGCCCACGCATCCAGTCACAAACGGAACCACGACAAGGGATCGACCCTTGACCCGCGACATTTCGCCGTACTCCGCGGCACGCTATCTGTCAAGAGCAGACACGCCGGCCCAGGCGCCAGCTGCCACGCCAGCAACACCTATTCCAGGACAGGCTCCCGGCGTACCTGCTGTTACAGCCTCAGCCACCGCCATTCTCCCCGACTCGGACGACTTTAACCCCGATGACACCTACCGATGCATCATCAACCTAAATCTCAACATGTCCTCGATGCTGTACACGGACAAGTTTGAGTGGTCGCTGCTCCACCCACCTGGCACTGCCGAGGCCTTTGCCAAGACGACGTGTGCCGACCTGGGCCTGAACGGCGAGTGGGTGCCGGCCATGACGCACGCCATCTACGAGGCCGTGCTGCGGCTGAAAAAGGAGGCGTGCGAGGCCGGCGGGCTCGTCGCCGGCTGGGGCGGCCTTCAGCAGGAGCTGCCCAACGACGCTGCGCTCGGCACCGAGGCCGGCTGGCGCTACGACCCGGATCACCTGGCCGAAGCCTGGGAGCCCAAGATTGAGATTCTCAGCAAGGAGGAGATGGAGAAGCGTGAGGGCGACCGCGAGCGCCAGGTGCGACGCCTACGTCGCGAGACTGCCCGCTTCAGCTCCACGACGGGCATGCTCACCGGGTCGACGCCGCTCTTTGGCGCGGCGGGCGCGGCGCCCACACCCGGCGGCGTGCTGCCACCTACCACACCATTTGAACCCGAGGAGGAGCGTATGGGTCGCGGCGAGCGATCCAAGAAGAAGCGCCGCTTCCGCAGTCTAAGTCCCCTCGGCCGCGGCGGTACACCCGGTGGTCGCGGTACGCCCGACGCAGGCGGCTATGGCGGGGGCGGCGCCCTCACGGACCTGGAGCGCTCCAACTGGCGGTGTCTGCACTGCCGTATCTGGGGGTCCTGCGTGTGGGCTGTCCGCGATGGTCCGGCAGGTCCTAGAGTACGTCTATTCCCATTCTTCCTTTTTTTTTTACTAGCTTCTTTCTTTACTAACGGCACACACAGACGCTCTGCGCCAACTGCGGCCTCTTGTACGAGCGCGATCGCAAACTCCCTCGGCAGACCAAGAATTTACATCTACAAGATGTACGTGCCAGTTGAAACCAGCGACAAACAAAGCCTGCCACAAAACAGGTATAATTGGTCTCTCGCCAAGAAGGGATGAAGAACCTTGCGGCGAATATTGCAAATGAAAGAGCTGATCGAGGAGGTTTACGTGTAAAAGAGGTGTGTGGGGGTTTTGTAAGCCCATTTTCTTGGTTGCTATTTTGTTTTTTCCTCTCATTATTTCTGAAGACTGGGCGAGCTCAAAAACGAACAGTTCCTTCAGGGCGCGGCGTCTTGAAATAACGGGTTTGGGCAAAGGGAGGCGGGATGGGAAACAGAGAAAGGAAGAGAGGCGGGGATAATTTTCTCTCGTGCCCTTTTTTTCTTTCAAAGTTGTATTGTCACTTTGTTTTTTTCTTCTTCATATTTCGGGTCTTATCACGCAAACCACTATCAATGTTTTTTTTTCTTCTCGACCTTGCTCTCTGCTCACCATTTTCGAAACGAGCACCCACAGCAGAAAAAGTACGGATAATAGTCACACGTGCAAAAGTGGTTTGCGCCAGGAATACCTTAGTCTGCACATGTACGTGCTGGTAAGACGTGTCTTGTCATTCGAGCGGAGAATAAACTAGTGAACCGTAATACTGCTATGCTCTTAAACAAAAGAAACATCATTATGCTATATTTCCTGACGGCCGTTCAAAATCTGGGCAGGCATCACTGCCCACTGGACATTTATCGCTGGGGAGGCGGCCCTCCGTGCATCATCTGCGAAACATTGACGCCGACCCACGGCTGCTGCTGCTGCTGCAGCTGCTGTTGCTGCTGTGTGGCACCCATAGGCACTGGCGAGGGTTGACCGACCGACATGCCGTTGGAGTACTGGCCGTGCTGCTGGAGAAGCGGTAGCTGCTGCTGCGGGCGATGCTGGAGTTGTTGCTGGAGTTGTTGATGTTGTTGGTGCTGGTGTTGCAGTTGTTGCTGGTGTTGCTGATGTTGCTGGTGTTGCTGCGGATGGTGCTGTTGATGTTGTTGCGGCTGGTGCTGCTGGTGCTGGTGTTGCTGCTGCTGGTGCTGCTGCTGGTGCTGCTGCTGGTGCTGCTGCTGGTGCTGTTGATGATGCTGTTGGTGATGCTGTTGTTGGTGTTGCGGCTGTTGGTGTTGCGGTTGGTGTTGCGGTTGGTGTTGCTGCGGTTGGTGTTGCTGCGGTGAGTGGTGCAGCTGTTGGTGTTGTTGATGGGGGTGCTGTTGATGCTGGGATTGATGCTGAGACTGACGTGGGTGCTGCTGCTGCGGCGAGTGGTGAGGTTGCGGCGGGATGCCGCGCAAGGCACGGAGCTCGCGCAGGCGTCCCACAGTATCAGCAGAGATTTGCTGAAAGCTTTCCTTGAGCATCGTTGCATCCTCCCATCGCTCGCTGTACTTGGACAGGGTCTCGTGCACTCGCTCTAGACACCACAAGCTGCGTTCCAGCGCATCATTGGCATTGCTGGCGGGAAGGCCAGTGCGTCGCGGGATGGGTGGTGCGGGCGGGCAGCCAGGCCGTTGCGGAGGTGGCGATACAGGCCGTCCGGACAGAAGCACTTCTTCTGCATCACGTAGCACGGCCAGAAGCTGGTTTCCCATAAAATACACCTTCAAGGCATCGTGGTATGTGTAAAACGCGCTGTTGAGTCCTGTGCGGGAAATTTCGAGCATTACGTTGAGATATTCGAGCGAGTGCTCAAATATGAGAGTGCGAGAATAATCTGTAATTTGCGGTGCCCGGACAGAGGGAGCAATGCAGTACACATAGCTGTACCGCAGCTCCTGCTCAAACATGCGACGGATCCCGAGGGGAAGGGTGTCGGGTAGACTCTCACCCCATTCGCGCATGTCCAGACACATTTGCCACAGGAACGTAATGGGGTCAACAAGAGGTGTTGTATCTGACTGATATAGTTCCTGGTACCAGAATGACTGGGCGCGGCGGAGTTGGAATAGTAGAAGCGCGGGATCAGTGGACTGGGCAGTCGTAATGGGGCCAGCGGAAATAGACTGTTTTCGTGACTGTGCTAGGCTGGTAGGGAAAGCCACATTGATGGAGTCGTCGGTGAATGAAAAAGTGCGCGCGTGCACCATACTAATCGCGCGGTCTAGAGCGTATACGGAGTAAAATATTCGGCGACGAATATCAAGCGCTGTACGGTCAGAGGAAGAAGACGTGGGAGGGTCTTGATGGAAGCCCAAATCGACGCAGGCCCTGGCAGTAAAGCCAAGAATATGCCAGCTATCGAAATGAGCCGGGTCGAGGAGGGAATATATCGTCAGCAGCAACAATGACTGAATCTGCGTGCCAGTGCCGGGAGCGAGGGCCCGATCTGCGTATTTCAAAGCCTTGACGACGTATTCCACGCCGCATTCGTAGTTGGTGTCGTTTATCTGCTGGCTCTGGGCAGTGTATCCAATCGCGAGAACCATGTACATGAGCCAATAGTCGGAGTCTCGTGTCACTCGGTGGTCTTCCTGATAGAGATCGCTAATGACGGTCAAGAGGGCGGTCTCGGAGAAACATGGAAACAGAGTGTAGATGTGCGTCATGAAGTATTGCACAATCGAGTGGGTGACTTGTTTCGGAGGAAGGTCTGGCTCCGTCGACGCGGGGAGTGCATTATTCATGGTCGCTGTAAGGACGAGGCCGGCAAACGTCACGTTGAAGGCTTCGGGCTCAAAGTCACGAGCAACAGCATTGACGGACCTAGAAAGTCAGCATTACGAGCATGTTTTGGCTCGGGGCATCCTACATGTAACCAAAATCAGACACGAGAGAATTGACATCCGAGTTTTCGCGATTCCTGGCCGCCTTGCGGTGAATGGCGGCTTTGATCAGTGCCAAGGAATCTTTGCGATTCATTTCATGCGTCAGAGTAACATCGTGTTCGTGATTAGCGACCGAGGCTTTGCGCGACTTGGCGAATTGCAGACGGCGCTCGAGTTTCTCGATGCGCAGCTCAAGAGCGGCCACGTAACTGGGCAGGGTTAGCATACGTGCAAAGCTGGGCCTTGGAGCTCTTTACCTTCTCTCCTTGCCTCGGGCGAACTGGTCGTTAGCAGCAGAGCACTCGCTTTCTCTGCCAGCCTTTTCACAGGCGGTACAAGCTGGGAGCTTTCCATCGCACTATGTCGCATTAGCTGCCGTCCGGGTCGGGAATGTCTTGGGTACGGACCTTCACTTTGGCCGAGCGACCTGAAGAAATACATTAGTAAGATGTAGAGAGATATTATAGCTAGATAGTGGGAGCGTACATCGCGAGCAGGCCGACACTGGGCGAGAGACCCGTAGGAGGGGGTTGCGAGAGAAGCTACTGCGGGGCATGGCGGGAAGCTGCCAGATGCAGCGCAGAGTAATGGTGGAAGCACTGCGACACTACAGGAAAGAGGCCGTCTGTGGCGCAGACAAGTCCAGGCGAAAGCGAAGCGGTTCGGTCTATATTGCAGCCCAACATAAGGACACGAACAACTGCCGCTGCTGCGGGGTGGGCAAAAAACAGGCGCGGCGCTGCTAGGCGTGACAGCGACAACGGCAATGGGGCAGCGGATATGCTTGTCGGCGTGGCGATTCGAGCGGGAGGATGATCTGGAGGGAGGATGCTCGGGCTTGCGGTAAGTTGACGGGAAGTGCGCGCGCGTCCAGGCGGCGTAGACGGATAGGACCAGCTGGCCGTCGAGCAAGAACGTTTGTGGTGGCCGGGGTGCGTAGGTTGAAGCTGGATGGCGGGCGTGCGACGCTGGCTGCGGCGGGCAGGCCGTGGTAGCCGGACTTGATGGTACAAGGTAGAGAAAGGAGCTGCGGTGAAGCTTGGCTGGTGTTTGGCGACGACGGTCGGGAAGCGAAATGAGGGCCAAAAACAAAGCGCGGGTGATGAATGGATGGGTAACTATGGATGGACAAAGTGCAGGATTGAGATGGAAGGTGAAGGGAACAACTGGCACACAACCTCAGGTACTTGAGAGGTACTCAGGGTAGGGTGACGAGATGCAGCCTGAAATATGTATCTACAGGTGCCGTAGGTCCGCCGCAGAGGGACGCTTGTGGAGGGGCGTTCCTTGGACGAAGTGTCAAAAACCGGCTTCACCAAAGTATCTTTGCGCGATACTTTGGTGATGAGGTACTTTTGTCGACCCACCAGTGCCTCAACTCCAAGACATTGTCTCGCTCTCCCATCCTCTAGTTAATAACTACATTCACACATTCAGTAGCAGACTTGACAGGCTACATGGACATCCGCCGCGTGCAACAACCAATCTTTCAACACCAGCAGCCGCTTTTCAGCCAGCCATTATGGTGGTAATAGCGTCAGTAGCGCTAGTCCCCCGTCCTACCGATCCATCTGCCTAATTTGCTCCGTCACATCACAACCAACGCCCACGGCCTCGACAAGTCCGCACCAACGCACCTCCCCGCTACTAAGCTTCGCCGCCACGTCGACAGACATATCCTGTCGCTCGTTGCCTGCAGTCATGATGCCATCATGTGCTTCATCCACACGATTCCGTCCCTCCCCTGCTCGGTAGCAGACCGCTTCTGGATCACCGACTTTCTGTTGCGGTGCGCCCTTTCTCCCAATGCGACGTAATAATGACTGCTCAATAATTAATAGGGTTTAAGCGAACTGGTTCACTGACCCATACACTCATGACCAGTCAACTACAACAACCTCAATGGCCGGCCTTGTTGTCAAAGCCGAGAATTTCGTCCCTTTTCACACCACTTCACCGAAACCTACATTCCATTCGTCGGGGCTGTCAGCTTGTTGCGGTGCCTGGTAGCCCTGGCTGGTGCTGCCGATTAGTTCCTTAATACATTCCTTGCAGATCTGATCTATCAACTCTGCAGGTACAATTGTCACCCATGCCGCATCTCTTCAAGAGGCGAATGTACGACCTCGAGCCGGTCACGGGGCGAATTGCTCCGGCCGTGCCCGTCGCCCCAGCGGTTTGTCAAATATTGCTCTCGTCCGTTTTCAGACCCCTCACCACTCCCGTGGAAGAAGTATGCCAAGATCAGCCAATTGCCCTCTTTGCCGCCGGCGCCGTGCTGATCAGCAGGCTCGGCTCCGGCCTGAATGTGGGCTAATTTGGCCTAAACTACAGAGTAGCTTTCTACCAGCCGTGGCGCTCCGGTGGCTCACAGTCAGCGGAGTAACAAGTGTCAGCATCATTGCGGCTGACCACAGCCGGAAACTAGATCCGCGCCTTATTATCGGCCGGATACGTGGCTATCCGTAGTACGACGGGCGGATGTTGTTGTCCACCCTAATGAGCTTGAAGCCAATCGTTACCATTTCGCAACCGAGAAGTGTTTCCGCGGACGGTAATATGACAACCCGACAAAACACAGTCGCGGTAAAAGCAGTTATGCCATTCAAGCAAGAAGAGGAGGAAGAAGAAGCAAAGATCCAGACGGTTCTTTTTTTCGTGCTGGGAGATCGGCCTACATGTTTACAGCTTACTCTTTCAACAGTCAACGTGATACCCTGTAATAAATGAGCATTTCAAATTGCCCGGCAGTAGGTGTGACTCTTGTTGGTGTTTTATCAGTAGTACAAGAGTGTATTGCTATATAAATCTGGGAACACCGCTTAAGGCGCCGTTGCAGCAGGCGTACGCTAATCTAACATTTGAAAATGGTGTAAGCTGCACTCACTGCATCTTGACGAAAAAATAGCAACCACAGTAGGACAACTGAATATTCCTAAACTTCTCTTAGAGGGCTATACCTCTTAGCACCACATAACTAGTAGAGTGTCACGTACTTGTCATTCTCGCTGGTGATACACAGCCTTGAAGACGAAATGCCGGCGTCAATCCACGAAGAGCTCATTAATGAAGGACGCCACTTCCTGGGTACGGAGCTGGGTATCATAACCAACCCATTGCCAACCGTGAGCCTTGGCTCACCGGATACGGCGGGCCACTGTTGCTACAGGTTTCCTTTTCAAACTTCACGATGTGCCATAAATGTTCACTTCGCGTCGCTCCTGTCCATGTGTCGGTACACGAGCTTTTCGGGGCGGCACAGGCCCATCGCGGCTGCTATTGTGTCCGACTTTGTGAGCTGTTATAAGACGAGAAGCCAACCGGTACCAGATTTTGCGGTGAAGGGCGCAAGTTGGTAGCAATGCCACTGAGGAACGACAAAGTCACCTGCCTGCGAGGTAACTCACACCCACAACTTACACGCCAGTTCTCGAGATATTTATGTTTGTACGAAGGGTGCGAAACTGAAATAAATTACACAGAATCCAGTGATTTACTAGACCACCGCTTTTTGGAAATGGTGATCAATTTTGTTAGACATGTGTGAATGCTGCGTAGGCAACGTCTGCGAATTCGGTAGGAAAATAATTCCGCAAACTCGAGGATATTTTCGTCAGGCGGTATACCGACTGGAAATTAGGCCTTGACACACTCTGAAAACGGCCACATATCTTACTACAGTTTGTTTGTGCTGAAATTGTACGCATCATTCATGGAGAGCAGTTGTGGCTGAGGAGGTGTGGCGTTGGAAACACTTCCACTGTTATTACTACACCTTTGGGAAAGCCCACCGACTCCTCCATGTTCACTGCTATCCACTAGCAGGAGCACAGGAGCACGCTAAAACACGCTATCCTGCTGTCGAGCCTGTTGCAACTCGTGTGTGTTGTAACTTTTTGGTTGCTGAAGAAGGACCTAAATTAGTGCCTAGTAGTCTCCACCAGCCACACCCAGGTGTATGTACCTGCACTTTGTTCGGATTACGGAGGAATACTTCGTACTGGAATGGCACTTGCCCGCTCCCGGAAGCCTCAGCTCATCAGAGTTGCCCAAGCACATGTTCAGTCCACTCATCCATCCCACTTTCTCGCACCGCACGCACATTACATTGTACTACACAAACTCCAACGGCAAACGTCTCTTCATTAACGCCGCTACCGAAGTTGTCAGCGCAGTCGCCAATCACGCACAATCCTCGTCTCCTTGCCGCAGCGCTGTCCTTGACAATCCACGGCCTACCAACGGCCACGCTTGTCCTTGCCGCCCCTCAGCCACCAGCCTTGATCGAGCCAGGACTTGCAGCCGAGGCCTCAACGTTCGTTCTTCTAGTAACGTTCATCTTGCCGACTCTACTTCACCTGATGGCCGTTTGTCATATCGATCGCGACTCTCGATAGACTGCGCCCGCGCCGTGAGCCCACTCCGCACCCTCAGAGCGACCCAGACTCTCTCCATAGCGCCTCGAGAGCAGCGCCTCGCACTCGCCTAGCCGACTACTGATTCTATTATTCTATTCCGGACTGCGCCACCGGTTGAAACGGCGTTCCACCACCTCCCAAAATGAATGCCGCGCACATATTCCGCCAAGGCCTAGGCGCTGTTCCACCCCGAGCCAATACCACCTTCAACCCACTTGCCGGACAGTCGGCAGAACTCGACGATCTCTCCGATGCTGAGGGATCTGAACATCGCGTAGCCCACACCCTGACAGCCTGTTGCCGCTGTCGACAAGTTTGTTCCTCCAACCCAGCATAGGCTCTACCTTGACTGACCATGTTGCAGCGCAAAACTCGATGTGATCCGACCCTCCCGCGTTGTCTCCCCTGTGAACGGTCCGGCTCGATATGCGAGTATCTTGACGCCGCCAAAGGCCGGAAGATAAACCGTTATTATGTCATCAAGCTGCAGGACAAAGTACGCGCGTTAGAGGCAGAGCTCGACCACTATACCAACGAAGCCGCCGACTATCCCAAAAGCAGCGAAGACATTGTTCGCCCAGGTGGCATGATCCGCCTGAGCGTGAATGATGAGATACCTCGCTACCTGGGACCCAGCAGTGGTATTGCTTTGACCCGTCTCTTGATGGAAGAAGCGAAGCGCTTCACAGACTCCAAGAGCATCGGCGAACTGATCCCCGAGGTCCGCGCCAGACGCCAGGCGCGCATGCAGTCCATTCAAATGACTGGAACCGGCACCCTAACAGGTCATAAGAGGAGCTATCCTATGGTATCCGAGGTTCCTGCCGAGAGTCTGCCCAAGCGCGTCGTTGCCGACAAGCTCATTGACGCCTTTTACCAGAAAAGTAAGTCTCCGTTTTGATACCTCCCTCCGTCCACCCTTAACCAACCCTTTGTAGCGCAATTATTTTGGCCTGTCCTACATGAACCAGATTTTGAGCAAGACGTTGATGCTGTCTACAACGGAGATACTGACCCATATCGCAACTTCGTCGTCCGTATGGTCTTTGGTGTCTCGCTCCAGAGGATGGAGCAGTACGCTGGACTCGCCGACAGTTATTACATGGCCGCCATGCAGTATTTCAAAGATGTTGTACGCCCAAAAGATCTGAAGACGCTACAGTGTCTCATATTAGTCGCAGCATACTCGCTGCACACCCCCGCACGGAACCCAATCTATGCCGTCATTGGCCTCGCCGTGCGTATCTGTCAACAAGAGGGGCTGACCGAGGAGAAGACAATCACAGCCGGCTACAATCTAGACGCCAAAACGATTGACATGAGACGCCGACTCGTTTGGATGGTTGCCACGTTTGAATTTGCCCTTTCACATTACATGGGCCGTCCGTCGTCCTTCGCGAAAGGCGGGGATCGCTTAGACGTTGATTGGTTTGCTACTGTCAAGGACGAAAATATTACAGAACACGGCATCACGGCTGGACCAACCGACTACAGAAAAACGAACACAATACACATGTATAAGTTGCGTTCCATCGAATGCGAAATCAGAAGGACCTTGTACGAAAGAAAGCGCCCCGAGCCGGTCAATGATACCCACCCATGGTATCAAAGCATAGACAAACGACTTGACGACTGGGTCAAGTCACGGTCGGAAGAGATTGCCTGGACCAAGGCTTGGTAAGTTGTCACAACTTGGCATCTGGGATGCCGCTAACATCTGCAGGTACTTTGGAGCATATCACCAGTCTCGCATGTTCCTGTATCGCCCCTCGCCTCAAGTACCAAAGCCCTCGGCTGGCGCTGCGCAAATCTGTTTCGATAGTGCCGCCTTTGTGCTTACACTATCCAAGAGGCAAATCGAAACGTCAGCTCTGGACTCGACCTGGATGTTCCTTCTCAATCTCTCTACCGCTCTCAACACGCTCCTGTGGTCTATTTCCTATCCCGATGTTCGACAAGCGCATAGCAGAGAAGAAACCGACGAGCTCATCAATTCTGGTCTGGACTCACTCGACAACTGTTCAGCCCGCTGGCCAGGGGCAGCAGCCACTGCACAACTCTATACTATTCTATCAAAGGCCTGTTTGCAAAGCTACGAGGATGGGCAATTTAATCCCCTGTTTTCCTTTGCTAGCCCTTCAAATGGTACAGACATAGCGTCTCCGCCCATTGCCAACCAAGCAGCCGACGGCCAGTCACAGGTGCAATTCCTGAATCCCCCTCAGTTTGGCTGGGCTTTTGACTCGCCCCCGGAATCCATGAATGCATATACGTTTGACCCCAACTTTCCTCCACCGCAGCCGGCGTTTCGATCCAACTCGATCTTCTGTAACCCGGCAACGGACTCTAGCGGGCGCCGATTCTCATATTTCCCGCCTGATATCAGCCAGCCGGGTGAGGGTATCATGGAGCAACCTGCATCATTTATGCCGGCTCAGCAGCAACATACACAACAACAGCAGCAGCAGCAGCAGCAGCAACAACAACAACAGCAGCAGCATAACCAGCAGCAGCAGCATAACCAGCAGCAGCAGCAACAACAACAGCAGCAGCAGCAGCAACAGCAACAACATCAACAGCAACAGCAACAGCAACAGCAACAGCGCCATCGCCACCCCCAACAGCAGCACCAGCAGTCGCAACCGCCATCACAGCACCCTACACCTAGCCACTCCGACCAAATGAGCAATCACATGCCGACGCCCCCCGAGTCACTCGCCCCCCAAACCAGTCTGTCCGCCACGACACCCAACTCTGCCTTTACGCCCCCTGGCATGAGCCTGACCACACCCAACATGGTGGAAGCGTCACTGGCGTCCATGACCGTAGCCACGGGGGGCGGCTCGGCGCACATGACGCCACCGCTACCGCATAAGAACCACGGCCTCCAGGGCCCCGGAGACCCCGCGGCCATGCCCCGCGCCGGCCCTGGTCTGACAGACCAGAAGCCGCTGCCCACGGCCACCACAATGGCGCCCGGCGGCGACTGGTACGCGCCCATGCCGCAATTTATCTCCCCCTACACCATTGGTCAGATGAGCAGCAGCAGCTTCCTTGACGAGTCGCTCAGCGGCGTCGACCCGAGCGCCTTTAGCCCCGCGGGCCAGCACAACGCCGCCGCCATGGCCGGCATGCCTACCATGGCCTCCCCTATTGACAATAATCTATCACCGTATGGCTACATGCCGGGCCGCCATGGCAGCCTCTCCCAGTCGCAGCAGCTGGAGCTCATGAATGTTTTTGAGAGGGAGGGCGTGAGCGAGCTCGACGCCATGCTCAACTCGGCCAATAACATTTCGGTCGATACAAGCTGGTATTAGGGAAAGACACTGGTTATGGCGATGGGTGTTGCATCACGTCTTGTCTTTTTCCCTGCCTTGGAGAAAGCGATTGTTTTCTTCTCATATATGTTTACTAGTTGCCGATACGTCTGGCAAATGTAGGACGGCGTCTTTTCGTTTTTCTTCAGAATTGAAATATACGCAGTTGAAACTAGAAACAGCCCGTGTCAAAAACTGGCTTGCTTTCGAGGCAATCTTGTGCGCTGGTGAGATATGTATTTGAGAAATAGACGATACGCTATATGAATCGCTAAGAATGATATAATCTACTAGATTTCCAGGTCGCTCATCTTTGTGGCAAGTGCCTCTGGATCCTCGCCATGGCGGCTCGAGGAGCTCCTGCTGGCCGTCTTCTTCTTGCGTCGCACACTTGGCACAACTGGGTTTTCCTTGAGCCAACGTCTAATGTCGCGCGCGTGTCCTGTACGTAGATCCCGTCTGTCGGGCAGGCCGTCGGAAATAATATTGTCTTCGATGCGGCAACCCGGAAGCAATTGAACCTGGTGAATTGGCATTTCTGAATTTGGAGGTTGGTTTTGCGATCGCATTTTCGCTAGAGCTTCCAGCGTTCGCATGGCCTCGGACGGTGGCAGTAATGCAGCCGAAGCAAACAGGTCACCACCTGCTGGCTGGGCGTCCTCGGTAGCAGCGGTAGTGTTCTCGCGGCTGAATTGGGTCAGCAGCGGTGCGTATTTGGGGCGGCAGAGGTCGTCCCAAGAAGCCACGAGTGGAAGTAACTGCGTGTCTGAAGCAGGGTAGCCAACGAGTTCTTTCCAGTCATCCCGTGCAGGGCTGCGCGCCGGATTGAAGATCGGGTAACCATCGCAGAGGCGTACGAGGCGCGCAACCATATAGGCATGGCGTCGAATTTCCTTTTTTGACGTATTTATCAAACAGTGACAGAGAAGCAACGCGTGTAGAGCCTCGATCAGGTACGGATGAAAAGTTACGCTCTCACAGCTCTTTGAAGGTTCTTTCACTTGGTCCGCGAAAGCCTTGACAATATCAACAGCGGCGCTAGATTGCTCATCTGCCAAGGCCGCCGGCGGGGGGTAAGGCGGCAGCTCAGCAATTGGAGCCGAGAAAAAGAGCCGCGAGACGGGATACATAACGTTGGTCGCTACCGTGCACCTCCGAACCAAAGGTGGGATGGCTTTAGACGAGGGAGTGGTGAATACCGTGGAAATGAATCTGGAAAAGTCGTGCGAGGCTTCGATGGGCCAATCTGGAGAGTACTTCAAGCTCCGTAGAAACGACATCAGACTGTTGATGGCATTTTTGGCATTTTCCCGGACAAGTCTCTGCGACGTGATGCGCTCGCCGAGAGCTACCTCATCTTGGTCTTCTGGCGTAGCAGGTGCCCCCGAACTATCTATCTCGGGACCAAAGCTGGTCGAGATGTGCTTGCAGGCTATTGCAAGATAGTGGATTGCGCGGTGGAACAGGAGCTGGCTAGAAAGACTACCGGGCATTTTGTCTTCTGGCACTGGTTGTCGAGGATTTTTTCCTTCCATCGCATCAGACAGCTTCGGCTTCTCAGCCGCCAAGTATCTGCTCCGTGTAATTGCCAATGTCAGGTCTGTGATTGCATCCCCCTCGTTGCCCAACATGGCATTCACTGCTGCGCGCGTCCTCAGATTCTCCGATATATGGCCGGTATCAAGGATTTCTGTAAGCATTTCCACACATTCTGGCGTAGCAAGTTGTCTTTGAGAGACCATTTCGTGAAATAACTGCACGTACTGGGCGTCGGCGCTGTTCGGCTTCTGCAGCAGGACTCGGGCGGCCACCTCGTCCACGCTCACAATAAACATTGTTGCCACGGCGCAGGCATTCTCCTCGATCTGATAGGCCTTTCTCAAGCACTCGCAGGCTTGTTCTCGGATCCGCAGCTTTTGCTTCGGCCCAACCCATGTGCTTCGACCAAACGGTGAGGCTTCGGCCGCCTCTGCCCTGCTTACATGTTTCCTTGCCTCTTCGACCAGTCGCATGATCTTGAGAACATCGAACATGACAGCTGGGTCAATGGGATGTGGCGGGGGAGTGCGGTAGTTGATGTAGCAGAATTGTTCAAATGTCTTCAAGGGTATTCGAATCCATACGCCCAAGAAACTTTCTACGTGACTCCAGTGGCTGCCAACACGTCAGTAATGCCACTCTGCCCCAATCATAACCGGACTACATCTTCAGTATTGATCCAACTTACTTGGCACGGCGGGCAAGAACTCCAGGAGCATCATCCTGTACAGACGAGCCTTCACCCTGCTCCGTCGCCACAATGAGGTTGAACACCTTCTCCACAACAGAGTCCATCTCGCAGTATAGAAAAAAGATGCGTAATAAAGTATATCAGTCAGGTTATGGCGTTTTCATTGATTGTGTTGAAAGGGAAATGAGGATACCGTCGTGGCCGTGTCTGTGACTGCGACTTTTCGTCTTCTCAGTGACAAGCTGGGAAAGTACCTCCGGAGTCCTGAAGCGCCTTCCTCCACAACATCAACTACCTTGTACACATGCGCCAATTGTCGTTGGGAGCAACCTCCTTTGCTTGGATTGATGTTGCGGTTTCCCCATCTTCCGAATTGGGCCCATGACTACCACGACATGTCCAACACGACCTCTGGCGAGCCGCGGCCAACTCATAAGCCTAGCGAAAGCGAACCTTAACTACAGCGACATTTTCGGCAATTGATCTTCTTCTTCATCTGAAAATGATGCTTCTGCTTCTGCTCATCGAAAGTGGAACAGTTTGACCAGGTCCGCGGAATAAGTTGGTTGGCATGACGCTGGTGTAGCTGCAGGTAGGTGGCATTACCACGCACCCTGCATCATGCGTCTTGAGGAAACGGGCCGAGGTAGGCTCCGGAATTAAGAGGATACGAATGTAATTAATCTTGAAAAGTCAATACTTGGAGAATCTTCCACCCATGAAGCGAGCTTAGATGATGGTAAATATGGGCTCGGCGTGCTTCTTGTGCAAGTGCAATCAGAGGCTGAATCACATCTGCAATATCAATAGAATTCCATTTCTGCACTACTGCGACAATCTGATAGTAATAGTTTACTAAGCCATTTCTCGCAATGACATCCGCTGCTAATCTAGAACTTGTGTCCAGCTGGCTCAGGGTCCACGACCACTGGCTTGCAGCCCAGCCTCTTCTTGAAGTCCTTGATGCCCTTCGTCACGCCCTCATCGAAACCATCGGGCGCAATAGGCCCGAAGTTATCTCGGAGCACCTTGGCGGCCCGATCGATGCCCGTGTCCACGATACCGTGGCAGTCCATCTGGTCGTCCGCCGGAGCTTCGGGCTCGTCGGGAGCGGGGCCGCACCTGATCTCGTTTTTGAATCTGGCGACGCCGGCTTTGATAGCCGGTTCCAGTTGGGGATAGACGGGCAACAACCGCCTGAGAACGGCGAGAGCGGCCGCGATTGCCACGTCCGCACCCCGGCAGGTCCCCAATGCGGGCGGACCGACTCCAGGCTGGGCAACAGTGGCGAGGCTGCCAGCAAAGAGAGCGGCCAAGACGAGGGGGAACTTCATGATGTTTGTGGAAAGGTAATGATTTTAGTTGGACTGTGGTATGGAGGAAAGGAAGAGGGAGACTGTGGAAGGAAGGAGAGAGACAACAAGAAGCTGGGCTCCTCGGGTCTATTATATACGTGAGAACGGAGGCAGCACTCTTGGACATCTGGGCAACCCCGCGTCTTATCCGTGACTCTTTGCCTCGCGCAGTGCTGTTCCGCCGACGTGCGTGAGATTCTCCACCATCTTCACCGACGACAGATAGCGACCCCTCCTGCCTCACCTGATAGTTGTTACGAATTCGGGATCCTGAGACCTGGAGTGGTCAAATATATACACCAGCTCATGCACACTGTACTAAATGAGACTTGTTAATCCACCATTTCTGCTGAATCGGCCTTGTTCCCTTCGATTCTCCCCCCCTCTATGGATGTATCTAGCCATCGGCGACATCAGTCACCCAGTCACTTGCGTGAAGCCGACCACACAGCCAGCTGAAGAAATGCCTCTCGCACCAAGTCTACCACCAGTAGGGGATGATGCCGTATCTAAGGATTCAATATATGACATGATTCTGCGGCATGTCTGGGACTGTGCCTTGCTCAACACGGAGAAGTCACCCCGCACCAAGCTTGCACACGATGTGGTGAACAACAATATCTGCCGAAAACAATCTCTCTACGTTGCGCCAACTCTTCTGAATTGGTCGTCTGGTAGAATAAATAGTGAATAATTGGTATAGAGCGTCTGGACCTTCCATCGCCAGGAAATAAAGCGGCCGGGTCTCATGGGAATGCCGTATGTGTCACGGACGGGCGTGGGCGTCGGAGTCGGCCGTTGCTTCGGGCTGCACTTTGGCCGCAAGGCAAGAGAGCTGCATAAAGGCAGTCGAGACCATAAAGGCAGTCGAGACAGAGACAGCCGCGAGGCGAACCAAGCAACCAAGGTCTCGAGAATTGATAGTTACCACCACTTCTAGCTGCATGCAGAAAGGCATCCTGTGCTTGTCTCACTTGTCTCGGATGAGGGGCAGCACGTCGATCACTAGTTGGGTTCAGCTTGTCCAACTGGGTAGGCAGCGTACACAGGATTAGTAGACGTTGGCCACGAAGCGTTCTTACCAATCTGTTCAAGATGGATGAATCGCCTGCCCTTTCTGGCGCCGTCCTCGGCGAATTTGCCTAGTAAAGACATCGAGCATAAGGTAGTTACCAAGTCCTGGCCCCGCCGTGTAGCGCCACATATAAATAATTCCTACTTGAAGGAAACAGCTAGTCAATTGTATACTTGTATTATTAATGTACCAAACAGTCATGTACCTATGTATCGGGGAATTCTCTTCTCGAATTGCGCCTCATGCGCGCCAGTACAATATATACCTAACGCCAACGTTTTATCCCAATTAATTCCAACAAGTCAGCTCGTAATTAGAGCATCATGGCAGCAGCACCAAGAGCGAAGAGGGGAGCCGCGATGGCCATCTTCGAGGCCCCAGCAGTAAGAGGGACCGTAGGGACAGGGTTGCCGTAGGTGGGAGTACCGGTACCGGCAGTGCCTGAAGGCACGGGAGAGACGTAACCACCAGAAGGCTGGGCGTGACCACCACCGCAGTCGGGCTCGGGAGCATTGACTAGGTGGAAGTCGGCGCAGGTCAAGCGGGTGGTGTTGGCATAATGGACGACAAAGGAAGCGTTGCCGAAGAATGCATTACTGCCAGGCTCGAGCGAGGTGAAGGGGTCGGTGAACTCGGCGGTAAAGGGATCCGTGGTGATCTTGCCATACTTGCCGCTGAGATCACCAACTTGGCAAGAGGCGGGCTTGTCGCTTTCACAGGCGGGCAAATCACCACGCTTAGTAGGGTCGAGATGGCCAAGAGTAGCAGTGCAGTTGCCGCCGACAGCGGGCTTGACATGGAGATGGTAGACTAACAGGTTAGCATAAGAGGCAAACAGAATGAAAGACGGCTTAACATACTGAAGGGACCGCCGGACTTGGGGAAGTTGGAAAACTTGACGGTAAACTTTGTACCGACACCATTCTCAGCAGCAGTGGCCGAGATGGATCCAACAACGTTGCCGGCGAGGTCGGCACCCTTGAAGAAGGGCTTGTCGGGAAGGGTTCCAGAATACGTCACGCCGTGAGGGTTGTTGTTGATGATCTTGGCGTCTTCGTAAGCGGCGGCGTTGCCGACCAGGGCAGCCGACACGATGGCGAAAAGAGTTTTGGAATACATGGCGGGGGTTTGTATGGTTGCGTTATATGGGTATCGCGGGTGTGCTGTGGACGTGTTTGAGGTGGAAGCAGACGTGCAGACGACGACGAGAAGCAAGATTAAAGCTGAGTAGTAAAATGGACAAGAAAGAATAAAAGTCTGGCGCACAAACAACGAAACGATGGAATGGCAAATAATGGAGAGACGTGGAAAGGGGAGGATGCCGGAGGAGGGGGGAGGGCAACGTTAAATAAGATAAGCAGGTGGTATGTAAGACGAGCAGGAGCCAGCAAACGGAGAGCAGGCGTTTAAGAAACGGGCAATACTAATAAATGGCAAGTGAGATTGGCCGTTGCCAGTTGGGGCACCTGCACGAGGAGGCTCCTGGGAAACGGGAAACGGGAAACGGCTTTGATGACGGGGAAAAGGCAAAGACGGACGCAGGCATTCACGCATTGGATCATTGGATCGGCAGCCCAGGCCACGAGGTGTGGGTGGGGGCGGATCCTGTTCCTTTGTGGCTGCGATATTTTGTCTGGGCAGTGGCTTAGCGTATTTTTGTCGTTACAGGGCCGGTACCTCCCTGGATACTTTGTACACTGTTGGGCAACTGGACAAAGGAACGACAGATAACACGCGTTTTGGTATTTTTGGTATTATTCACTGATAACCGCACTGTGCCGCAAATGCAGCCCAGAATTGACTGGACAGCGCGAGCTACGGATTACGCTCGGTTAGGTAGTGATGGTCCCACGTCCGCTCATCGCCAACGCCACAAGCCCGTCTAGAGAGGTACAGGCCATAGCAACTCGAAGCTAGGCCTTGTCTAGTGGAGCATGCTAGAAAAACAGGGGAGCTGGCTGCCCTGTCTGCCATCCCTTTGCAAACCACCCTGTACACTGCAAACTCTCCGCATTTGTGCACAACAACTCGACACGGCCGTTCGGTGAAACTCAGACCATCATGTTGCTAATTTCCGGATTTAGTGTACTATGATCAAATTTAGCCCATTGTTGCCGGTCGAGCTCGTTGCCCACATGCCTCGTTCAAGACACAACATGGCGCAAGTCAAGCCTCGTCTGACTACACCAGAGACATTTCGCGAATCCGCGTCAATCCATCGTCCGCCCTTCTTTCGCGCCAGTCTTCTTTCACGCCGGTCTTCCTTCACCAGCCCGCCTCGGCTGTCCGAAGCCACGCTACTGCCGCTCCATCCGCCCTGCGCGTCGGAACGGAAACCATCCAGAAGGCACAGCCCGATCGCGGGATGACTCTCTAACAGGGGTCGAATACACGTACAAATACGGAGTATTGCGCAGGGGAAAAGTCTGACAGAGCTGTGGGATATCATCTGCACGGGCTGCATGGCGGGAGTCATGGTGGTTACTGAGAACTCGTGTGTATCGGGTCCCTGCACCACCGTCAATCGTCATCTCACACTAAATTGCTGGCGCTCTCTTTCCGTTTCTGCCCTCCTGTCTCAAACGTCATGATCCCCCGGCCGCCCGTCATTCTTATGCCATGAAACATGTCTAGTTCGTCAACGCTAATAGTCTGTTGAACAGCAACTATACCCAGGATACCAATATCAGCCGTAGCCGACTAATAATACACAGCCGAAATGCTTACCTAGTTACTTCGATCCTCTGGAATCTTTCCATCACTAACAGCTATTACCAGCAATCTCACGCTTGGCACTACCACCATACCCACCGTCACTGCCACGCCCAGCCGGCTCCAGAAGGGTCCCGCGCACGGCTCCTCCCTTCAAAGTTGGCGCCAGTCTTCCAAAGAGTTCTGATACAGTAACCGGCTGACTGACAACAACTTTACTGGCTCGCGATCCGGCGACACCAACCGCCCTGTTTCGTTTGACGTCTCGCAACCCCCCCCCCCCCCGTTCCTCAGCCCCGTCTGCCAACACCCTGCGAAGATCCGGAACCGACCTGGCAAAACGTGTTTGATATTTTTCCTACATTGGTCAGAAATTCTGTGACTGCCGTGTTACCGATCCTGCCAGTTGGATTCAACTATCCTTCTTCGCTATCTATTCAGCCCTGCGCCACGTTCGTGGTGCGCCACCACTCTACGGAGTAGCTGTCGCGCCGATACCTTACCCGACCGACGTCATCCACCAACATCATATCTAGAGAATGGAATCAATTTGAAGAAATACATAGCAACATGGCCGTAAGCGCCGCCAAGCCACTTACGAAGAAAGAACTGGCAGCCAAGGTACAAGGTACACGTACAAAGGGTACAAAGGTCGGCCAGCCACGAAAGAGCCGCTCGCTCCTGACCTTCGCTAAATTTAGCACAAATCCATACCCGAATGGCGGCGCCTAAAATTAACTAATGTGCAACTCATGCAGCTACCCTACCACTACACCAAAATTGCCACAAGGCGGCAACGAAATGATTTCTTGTGAAAGCATCAGGGCACCCATGCATTGTAATGGCAACGATTAATACCGGCTCATACAAAAAAAATTGACTTTCAAAAAGGCTTCGGCGACTATCCACAGTCGATATCAACTGTCGTATCAAGTAAATGACAAGGAGCTGCTCTACAATGAAGCCAAGTCCTGCCAATGAAAACTGTTTCTTGTCACTAATCCTTCGGAAGAACTCTCACGAGACGGGCTACAAAGCCATAGCGCGCTGCTTCTCGTCCGAGTTTTGGCCAACACATTGCGCCGGTCACATCAACTCCTCACGAATCGCGACGACCAAATCCCTGCTGTTTGACACCGCTGACACTTGTGAAGCTAGGCAAGCTGTGGCTTTGTGGACTCTTGATCCTTGCACACCTCATATATCCGTCCTAAAATGGAAGCCCATGAGTCCGCCAAACGTCAACAGACACCTCGTGACTGTTGTTCTGTGACGAGAAATTCTCTGGATCTCCTCCGCACTGGCAGATCAGTCCAAGACAGTATCCACCCTATCTAATCCCGTCGTTACAACCGATTTTCCGGGTCACACCATCACATCCTGGGCCAAACAAAGTCATTCTCTCGAGACAAATCTGTGCGACACTTACGAGTCGAACATGTGTAACAGGCAACGGCCCCGAAGAGCACATGTACGGTGGCAAACATGTGCCCTCACTGAAAGAATTCAAGTAACACGTTTGAAAGAATGTGTTGTGGCAAGGACCAAATGGAGCCTCCTTGCCTGCTATCTATGTGATCAGTAGTGTTGCCTCTTATTGCGGAGTGGAGGAAACAACGCGATGTGGTGTAACACTATCATCATGCAATGCGACGCAGTCGAATTCAGACTCATACTCATGTGCGTCTGTATTTTGCGACCAAGAAGCTAACGAAGATGAAAAGGGAATTCTTCTCAGCGTGGGCTACAGAACCGCGTGCCGGACACGCCAACCCTGCATGCCTTGGCTAGAGTGTGCCGTTGCTGGTTCATATTCTTCCCGTGCTGCTGGCTTGGCGAATCCAGAAAAGGGCCGAGTATGACATGGGCAACGGCGACGACTCGATTTTCCGCTGGTGTTGACCGTGTTGTGCAAGCGCCACGACTAGGGCTGCCGAAGCCACGCGGATACAGCCCTCCAAACCTTGCTTCCCAGTGTGATAGTGGTAAAATGCTTCATTTTTCTTTCAACTCTACTCCGTAGTAGGTGCTATAACAGGAAACTTGAAGTCACTTTTTACGCGGACGTGGTTTGGCTCTCGAGTGTACCAGTTGCCAGGTCCGTGTACATGGGTGCTTACACATTCTCCTCCAGTTACCAATTACTTCTCGGTGTAACGCGAATGTCTCTAAATTGCATTCTCAAAACATCGGCACAGTCGTCATTTTCTTCTCCGCGTAGACTACAACAGATTCCTGCATTATCGCAAGTCCTCCACCATCCTAAGACATCAATGCTGCGGGCCACATTCATTCATCTCAGCCATTGCAAGGCGCTAGCCACTAACAATAACTATTACAGGATCCTTTGCATCGTTATGCTTGAATCACACGGGATGATGCATTGTAGAGTGTTCCGCACTGATGAGGCACCCACCGGAGTCCGTCCGGTTCCGAGAGGTTCGCGATAGATAGTACGCTTACGTGGACGAGCGTCTTGAGGAACTGTATCGACAGACACTTACCATTTTTGTTTACAAATATTATCACTTGGATGCTGCCGATGCCGTGTCTCTCGCTTGTGTGCTCGGCTCTTGAGTCCAGGCGGTTTCGGCCACTCGCTAGCTTAGGACGAGTTCGCTTAGGGACCGAGGAGGGGGGACGCTCTGGTGAACAGGACTCGATTCGGGTGAAACCACACATGGTGATTTTTCTAGCCGGGTCCATATGCATACATGCTCACTTATATAAACATGTGGCTGCTGCACGCTAGAACCGGAGCGCGCTCCCCGCATGACATCGATTCGATTGTTATTATGGCACTCACGCGAGATTTATATTAACCACATATCACCTGCCGATCTTTACCACGCTCTGTTTCCAGATCCGTCAAAAGATCATCCATGGACTCTACTCTTCTTTTCCGCATCCAGCGACGTGCCCGACGTGGCCGGGCCGGGCCGCAGCCCGTCGACCCCATTCTCCTCGACATCCACAACGGCTTTTGTGCGTACGTCGCCAGCACCTTGTCCGCGACCCTCGGCCCTTTGTATACAAGTACACCCATACAGACAGAATCGAAATCTTGTACCCAGCAGCAAGCTACCGCTGCCGCTACGACACCCGCACCAACGACCAACGCTCACCTCGTCCACTTCCGGCCGGCCGAGCGTCTCACGACCACGGGCTGCTGGTGCCCGAACCCGTCCAAACCACGGCCACACTACTGGCAAACCTGCACGTGCTTCATCCCACAGCCCATTGTGGCCGCCGGGGCCGCCGTCACGCCGTGCCCGCACCTAACGTCTGTGCCCGGGCCCGACACCTTTGCCTACCGCCCGGACGCGCCACCGGCCGCCGACACAGTGGCGCACCTCTTCTGCTTCGACCCGCTGGCGGCGAGCGCCGCGTACATGCGGTGGTTTCTGGCCGTGCAGGGCCCGCCCGACACGCCGCCCTCCGAGGACGATGCCACATACCTCGGCCGCTGGCTAACCGACTGCTACTACACTGACGACCACTACCGCGGCTACGGCGTGACGAACCCTTACCTGCCGCAGAAGGACCGCAGCACGGGCCGGCCGGCGTACGATGCCCGCTGGGAGGAGGTGCCGGCCACGGACGAGCTTGCGCACGCACACTACCGCCTCGTTAGCCGCTTCTTCATGGAGCTGCGCGGGGAGCCGCCCAAGGCGAGCCGCGCCGGCTGCTGGTATGATGCAGAGCGCGTGCATGCTGTGATTCGCTGGGAGCGCATGACCGTCCAGGAGACCATGGACGCGTTTCTGCCGTTTATGTTGCAGGCCAAGTCGCAGAGGCTGCAGAATATGGCGCCACCGCGTTGTTGAATGATTGTGGATAACGTGGGACGGACATTTGGATTGAAGAATGGGGAAACTACGCGGGCTAATGATTTAGAAGGCGTTTTATACTTGTGGATGAGATATGATGGAGTCAATCGAAAAGGGGTGCTGAATGGTAATTAGACGACATGTATGCAACTATAGTACTCAAGGTCTATGTCCAAGGAAAATTGAATAACGAGAAGTCTTAGTTGATCCAACATTACAATGTACGGCGTTTGCGATGCCGCATTGGTCAGACTCACGAAGGGCGGCAAGGTAGGCCCCTAAAAAAACGCGGCTTGAGCAGTGACCAAAAACCATGCCCTGTAGTATTCAATTCTATCATGCAGGCCGAATATCAATCAATTTCGTCTCATTTCCCCCAAATACAAAAACCAAAGAGCTTGGCAGCTGCCACAGCCTTTTTTTCGGGCGACTGTGTTTGCACTCGCACGCAGCGTGCAAACGTGCAAACGGAGGGCAGAGTGAAGTGGCAGCAACAACGATGCCCCCCTGGTCAAAAAAAAAAAGGACGCGAGGTGCTCATTTAACAACGTCAACACCACTTCTCGCGGCAAGATTTTCTCTCTCCAAAATCACGATATCCTCGTATGCTTTGATTGCTTCGTGCTTCCTTTCTTTTCTTTTTAAAGCTACTACAAGAGCTCAATTTTGTTGGAGACTTGCACGATCCATTTACCCCTGGCCATTTGGCCCTGGCCTGGCTCCTGGCTGCCACTTCTGTGAGCTTCTGAATAGGTAACTATCCCGCGCGAAAGCAAAAAAATCAGTTTACGAAGTATGCTAACCCTTGAAAATAGTTGCTCTCGAGGATTGATCTGCCATGCCTTCCACCACAGCTTGCCAGCTGCGGCTGGGGTGCCCGAGGACCAGCTTCGAGAAATTATCCACCATGTTTTCCTTACGCCTGGACATCCTCAGAATGGGGATAATGTCAAATTTGCTAGAGAAGCTGATGCGGCCTTGTTGGGCCTTGTATACGATGCTTTACGCTTCTTTAGCTCTCGTGTCACTGCGGACGCCAGTAAGGCTGTCGACCGCGCTTGCGAGGCCATTGGCTTTCTCCGTGATTCAAAGAACAGCTCGGGAGATCTGGACCACCACGAGGTACAACAGTCCTTGGCTAAGCTTTCAAAATCAGGTAAGCTCTATATGATGTCTATATACAGATCGAAGAATGCTAATGCCGCGGTAGGGGGGTGTTTGCCAATCCATGTGGAAGCTTAAAATGCCGCTATCATCGCTAATCGCGGCTCCTAATCTATTATTTTTAAGTTCCTTAAACTCTTACCTTAGAATATAGATATTATAAGCTAATCTTCTCTATCTTATAATTTACTAGAAAACCTTCTATAAAAGGTAGTAAGTATAATTCCTTATATATATACTTATAAGAAGCCTCTATGGTATAGTGGTTTTGTGTTATAGAGTTCTGTATAGGTTAGCACTTGGATCGCTAGTTCGAATCCAGCTAGAGGCACCCTAAACGATTTTTCTAAAAGTCGGGTAGCGCCTAGTCTACAACTAACCTATAAGGGAACACAAGCAAGGTAACCATAGAGTTAGCTAGGGTAAAAGCTAGAAGGTAATATATACTAACTACTATACCACCCTAGCCCTTAATAGATAAAATAAGGCTAAAAACTATATATATATAATAGTATATACCTATAGATATTATAGTAAAGAACTATTTTACTACTTAGATATATATATAGATAGTAAGTAAATTAATATACCTAGATAATTAATAAATAATAAAAATATAAAGAAATATAGATTAAGATAATAGTTTAGAAACCTATCTATTAAGAATATATTAAATACTATTAAACCTATTAAGAATTATATAATAGTTAGGTTAAATTAGGTAGAAAAGTAGGAAGGGAAAAAGGTAGGTTATATTACTTATTAAGACTAAAGCTTATCCCCTTTTTCCTTCTAGGAAATATCCCCCTTATTTTATAATAACTAAAAGGAGGATAATATATCCTTTTAATTAGAGTTTAAATACTATTTAAATAGTAATTAAAACTTATATAAGTTAATTCTATTCCTATAAGTCTACTTAAGGTCTTAATTTAGGCTTAACTTATATATAGGTTTTACTAATCTTATAACTAATTCTTCTTTAGGCTAACTCTAGGTACCCCTTTACCTTATAGCTAATTAGTTATCTTATATAATTTATACTTACTATAGATCCTTAGCTACTATATATTTAATACTAGTAGTATTAACTTTACTAATAGTATATAGTTTCCTAATTACTAGGGTTCTTTATAATTATAAATACTAAATTAGGTTTAATTTAAATTATATATATTAGGGTGTTATAATTACCTCCCCTTCTAAGAGGTACTTCTTTAGGTATTATATTTTAGCCCCTATATTATTCTTTACTATTATAAATAGAATATATACCCTAGGTAATAGGTTATTTTATAAATATAGTATAGTTAATTTATATAGGTATTATAGTTATTAGCTAATAACTACTAGCTAGTAAATAATTAGTAGAATAATATAAAAGTCCTTTAATTTACCTTTAAAATAGGTTCTTTTATATTATCCTTTTATAACTTTCTATTTATACCTTTTCTTAGCTTTATATTCCTTAAATTATTATATTAACTCTTTATAGTAGCCTCTATAGTATAGTAGTTCTATAGTATAGAGTTCTATGTAGGTTAGTATATAGATTATTAGTTTAAATCTAGCTAGAGGCACCCTAAATGATTTTTCTAAAAGTTAGGTAGTATATTCTACTATATAACTAACTTATAAGGGAATATAGGTAGGGTAACTATAGAGTAGGTAGGGGTAAAAGCTAAAGTAATATATACTAACTATTATACTATCTTTAGCCCTTAATATATAAAATAAAGCTAAAAACTATATAAATACTATAGTATATAACCTTATAAAAAGTACTAATAGTAGGGAACTATTCTACTACTTAGATATATATATAGAGGTAAGTAAAATTAATATACCTAGATAGTTAATAATTAATAGAAGATATAGAAGGATATAGATTAAAGTAGTAGCCTAAGAACCTACTTACTAAGAAATACTAAATACTATTAAACCTACTAGGAATTATTATATAATAGTAGATTAGTATATAGGAGAGGCTAGTTTTTACCTAGGCTAGGATAGTGCCTAGTATAGTAAGGTATAGGTATAAGTCTGCTACTATGGTTTTTCTAGCACTTATAAGTTTATTAAGGTACTAGAAGAACTATAAGGTTTAATTAGGGTAATTTAATAAAATAAATAAAACTCCTTATAGTAAGTAGACTTATAATAAGGTATTCTTAGATTAGGCTACCTCCCTAGTTATTATTATTAAATAGTAGTAGTACTTACCTATTTTTCCTAATCTCCTAATAAGCCTTTATTAAACCTTATAAAGCCTTTATATTAGAACTATAACTAGACTAACTACTTTATTTAACTAAATAGTATATTAACCTATATTCCCTTTACCTCTAGGTTATATTAATACTATAGCTACTCTTTTAGTATAGGTATTTCCTTTACTACCTAGTCTTATATTACTTTAATTTAAGAATCTTATAAACTACCTTAGCTAGTTAGATACTAATTAATAAAACCTATATCCCTAGTTTTATACCTAGATTATAGTTTAATCTTTATTTAGCTTAAACTTATAAATCTTACTAATACCTTATTTTTTTAGCCTAATAACTCTACTAATATACTATAGGTATATTTTATATAAGAATATCCTAGCTCTTAGTCTATACTACTAACCCTAAGCCTAGCCCCTAGAATAAGTATAGCTTAGGTAGTAGCCTATTAGCTTAAATAGAATAAAGAAGTATTCTAGCTTTAAAATAAGGCTATATATATTAAAGAGTAAAATAATATTACTAAATCCTTTACCTTCTTTATATATACTCTTAAAATAGGCTATATTTTATATTCTAATATCTAAAGAGGCTATTATTACTAGGGTACTTAAGGTTTTACCTTAACTTATAGTTAAGCTACTAGTTATTCTAGCCTAAATATCTTTTTATAGGCCTTAGTACTTAAGCCTTTATTAACTTATCTTATTATTCCTTCTAATAAAGGAGATTCTATAGTTATTAAATTATATTAAATCTTCTTTAATAATTATAACTTTATTTAGTACTTATAACTATTATATCCTATTACTCCTATTACTCCTATTATTAAGATTAAGGATTTAGATATAAATACTAAATAAGATATTATTAAAGATAATAATAATAATAATAGTAATTATATTAATACCTATAACTAATCTTTTAAGGAAAAATAAATAGATAATATAGATAGGGAGGGTAATACCTTTAATTCCTTTAATAAAATAATTAATATTACTTATTATACTTATATAACTAATATTTTCTATATATATTATATTCCCTACTCCCTTATAGCTTATTAATATAAGCTTAAGTTAGAATTCCTTCCTATATAATACTTTTTTATAAGATACTTTTAGTTTCTAGTAGAAATATCTTAGTATATATACTATTATAAAATATATATTAGTTATTAACCTATATATTAATAGTTTAATACTTAAATCTATTTTATAACTAATATTTTCTTTTTTTAATAGAATCCCTATAGTATACTAGCTAATTATGCCTAGTTTATTTATTTTTTAGACCTTAGCTAGTCTTAGTATAAAGTAAGAAATAATAATAATAAATATATTCTTTATTAAGAGGCGTATTAAGATCTAGCTTAACTTAGCTTTAATTTAGCCTTAACTTTTAATATAGTTAAAAATTAATATAATTCTACTTATAATTTAACTATAACTAAGAAGTTCTTATAGGTATATATTCTTTTCTTATTTATAGTCCTTTTAGACTTATAACTAACTTCTCTTTTTCTTTAGATAGGATTTCTATATTAAATATAATAATCTAATAAATATATATAATATAATTATAGTTTAGATTAATAGTAAGATCCCTTTATTAGGATTAACCTTAATAGATAATAGTTATAATCCTTAGCTTAATACTAAGGTATCTTTTTAAACCTAATACTTATATATCTTATCCTATTCTTTTCCCTTATAAGCTATAGAATTTAAAGTAAGTACTCTTAGTATTTATAATATTCCCCTATAATAAGTAGGATATAATTTAAGACTTCTATTTATTCTTTTTTTTTTTATTTTATTATATAATTAATACTATTTTATAAAAATCCTTTATCCTTTTAGTAGTTATTAATATAATCTTTTCTTTAAATATCCTTTTTTTCTAAGTATATTCTTAAGACTATTTTAAGTCTTATATTCTTTAATACTTATCTATATATTAGCTATATTTTCTTTTTATACCTATTTATTATATTTAATAGGCTATTCTTTCTATTTAATTAGGAATAATTAGATCTTTCTTTACTTATAGCTATTTATAATATTCTTTACTTTCTACTTATCTTTAGGATTTTTAAGGTTTAATATTAATAGTAATTTAATATTACCCCCTTTTTAAGGCTTTAATAAGCTAATATAGAATATATTATATAGATATTTATATTATCTAGGTATTATAAGCTAGTATACTTATAAACCTATTTTATTTAGTATATATAGTAATCTAATCTAATATAAGGCTAGCTTTTTTTAAGTAGCCTTAACTTAAAAGTTCTTTATAAAGAGTATAACTAGATCTCTCTTCTTAAGTTCTAGTAATTAGTATTTTATATTATAATATTAGTTCTAATATACTATTACTACTTCTTAATATTAAGTTATTTTATTTTATACTTTTTATAGTTTTTAGATCTAGGTTCTAGGTTCTAGTAGTCCCTCCTTAAATAAGTTAACCTTAACTTATATATATATCTTAAGATAGAAACCTATAAGTAGAAAAGCTAAACTATTCTTAGTTATAATATTTACTATATTATTATATATATATTAAACTATATATAGTAGCCTTAGTTAATTATATTATACTTTTATTAAGAAGTAGTATAAATAGTATTTTAATATTTAATTTATTTATTCTATCTATTTATCTATCTAAGGATAGAAAGTAATAGATAATTATTAATAAATATATATTATATAGTATAATTCTACCTAGAAATTACTAGTAAATAGTATACTATAATCTAAGATAATACTATCTAAAGTACTAAATATTAATTCTACCTATATATAGAATAAATCTACTAGGTTAGTAGCCTTTATTATATAAAAGACTATAAAGAAGAGTAAATATTTTATATAATAGTTAATAATAATAAGAATAAAGTCTTTCTCCTTATTCTTAAAATAGACTAGTAATAAGCTAGTAATAAAATCTATACTTAACTCTACCTATAATTAACTTAGTATTAATAATAATATAAGTATATTATATAGCTTATATTACTTTATTACTACTAGTTAATAAGTAGTATATATAATAATATAGTCTTTTATATTATAATTTATATATTCTTAATAAAAGTTTTATTAGAGAATATTACTTATTCTATTTATACTAAAATATCTTATAAATAGATTATTATAGTATAATTATAATAGCTTATTAATAAGCTCTATATTCTTAAGAATATAGATCCTACCTTTATAGTATAATAGTAAATTACTCTTAACTTACTAGCCTTTCCTTTACTAAGTTCCTTAGAAATATTATTAATATATTTAGTCTACCTTTTAGGCTTTAAGAATAGATACTTTTAAATCTATTTCCTTTATTTTATAGTAATATATATTTATAACTATAATAAATACTTCTATACTTAGCCTATTAAATTTCTATTAAGTTAGGTTTAAGTCTTATAAGACTATACCCTATATTTAACCTATAGGTATATTACCTATTATTAGTATACTACCTAGGTTTTCTATATCTTCCTTATTTCTAAGTTAGACTAGTTCTACTTAGCTCTTTATAGCTTAGGTATTAATTATAATAATAAATACTATCTTCTTTTTAAGATTATTTATTAGACTTATATCTAGGCTATCTTTTAAAATATAGTTAGATTAATAACTTAAGGTATTAACTAAATTACCTTTCTTTATATAATACTTTACTATAAAGCTAAATAGTATTAAAAATATATATTATTTAGTTTATTTACTATTAAGTTATAAAGTATTTATAAATATTTAGAGATTTAAATAATTTATTAAGATTTCTATTAGTATATTAGTTTTATTAAAGTATTATTATTAATATTTAAAACTCTTTATAATTACTAGTATTTCTTAGTCTTTAATAGTATAATTTTATTTTATATTTATTAGTTTTTAAGACTAAAAAGTAAAAAGATAATATTTTCTTTTTTTATCTATTTAAAATACTATTTTTAATATTATATCTTTAGATATATTAGTCTTAAGTTAAACTAGTTTTCTAACCTTATAGTTTTTTAATAGTAGTATACTTTAAAATACTTCTTTAAGCTATTAAAATACCTTTTAACTAGCTTTATCTATATCTACTTTTTTAGGTTTTTTCCTATTTACTATACCTTTTAAGTAACTTATAAGTAAGAAAACTATAGCTAAATATTAGTTAATAAACTATTAATAGAAATTATAAAATCTTAAAAATACTTAAATTTCTTAAAATATCTTTATTTTAGGCTATTTTTAGATTATCTTTACTCTTATAAGATCTATTTAGATTCCCTATTCTAAGAGTAAGAATCCTAAGAATTTAACTTCTAATTAGTAGAATTTATATTTTAAGAGTTTAATATATAGTTCTATAGTATATAGTTTCTTTAAAACTAATTTTAAATATTTAATATATTCTTTTTTAGTTTTTAAGAAAATTAAGATATTATTAAGGTAGATAATATAAATATAGTTTAATAGTTTACTTACTACTTAGTAAATATAGCTTTAGAATATTATTAATATATTAGTTAATCTAAATAGTATTATTAAGAACTTATAATACTTATAATAACTATTAAATATAGTTTTCTATTTATTACCTTTTTTAATATAGATATAATAGTATATATTTTTAATATTAATTTTTAAAAAATACTTAGCTTTAAAGATTTAGTCTAGAATCTTAGTAATTAAAGGTAATAGGTATTAGTTCTTTTAAATAACCTTATTTAGACTTTAATAATTAATATAAAGTTAAAAGCTTTTATCTTTTTTAAAGATAAATAATATAGAAGATCTAGTAAAGCTTATTAAAGGGTAAATCTACTCTTTTTTTAAAGCTTTATTAATAAACTCCTATAAAGTCTTAAGTTCTTTTAAAAAAAGGGGGTAGATAAAATTATAAAGTAGTATCTATCCTTTTACTATATTAATAGTATAATTAGAATCTTTAAACTTAGGAATAATTCTAACCTTAAAGTTATTAAATATATTAAAGTAATCCTATAATTCTAAAAGGATTATATAAAATACTAGCTTTAGTTCCTCTTTATCTTCTAGAAGTAATAGTAATTTAGGTAAGTTAATTACTATAAAAACTATTATAATAGTTTATAGTTATTTCTTAAACTACTAAGGCTTATTTAATATAATTTATATACTTTAGGTTTTAAAGAACTATAGTTATTAAACTAGATTAATAAAGATATTATAGTTTTTTAAACCTAGTATTCTAATTAGGAGCTAGTAGTCTCTTTAATCTAAATCTTAAGATAAGGAATACTAGATTATAATAGTTTTTATAATATTTCTAGAATTTATTAAAGTAATTAGTACTTTATAAAGTTTACTTATTTAGAATTAAACCCCTTTTATTATCTTAATTCTTAATAGTTTTACTTTTAATTTTTAAATATTAAGTTATAAAGCTAACTTAATACTAATTAGACTTATAGCTACCTTTATATTTAGAATAACTTAAGTAGTATTTATCTAATTAGCTAAAGTACTTATTATATAGAAAGGTTTAGTTATTATTTCTTTTTATATAAATTCTCTTTATATTAAGTCTATTTTAAACTCTAATTATAGCTTTTTTTCTAAGTTTTATATTTTTAGTTTTAAAAGGTTAGTATAGACTAGAGTAGTAAAAAAACTAATTATACTATCTAGTTTCCTTTTCCTAAATCTAGCTTATTAGTATTTTTATACTTAGGGTATTTAGGTGTTATATATCTAGGTTTATTATACTTATAATAGATAATTTTTTTCTTTTTTTATAATAAAAGAAACTTTCTCTTTTAGTATAGTATAGATAGTCTTCTTTAGTAATCTAGCTTTAGTCTATCTTAATTCTATTAGTTATTCTTATAGTTTAGTTTATACTTCTTATTAGTATCTTCTTTTAATTCTTAATCTAAAGGTCTTTATTTTAATATATTACTTTCTTAGTATTAGGTTATAGCTAATACTACTTCTTCCCTAGTTTTTAAGTTCTTATTTATATAGTTAATAATTTTTTTTTATAACTATTTTTATAGTTTTATAAGATACTATTAAACTCTCTTAACTTCTAAAAGTATTAGTACCTTTTTCTTTAGTAAATCTAAGTATAAATAAAAATCTATAAGGTATTAGCTTAGCCTCTATTTAATAGACTTAAAGGTAATAACTATATTTATTTCTAAGTTAGTAAAGTTTTTTAATAAAACTTTACTCTATTTTATAAAGTAGTTCTAGTTATTATTATATTCTTCTTATTTAATTAATAATAGCTTATCTAGGTATTAGTCTTATTTAGCCTAGTAGGCTAAGTCTATATATTCTTAAGTATAAATAATTTTTAAAGATTCCTTATAAAACTTCCTTAAATTAGCTATAAAGACTTTTTATAAGTTTTTCTTCTATTAATTATAGATTTAGAAGTTATATTAGTTTAGTAGTTTAGTAATATTTTAAATCTAAATACCTTAAAAAAGGTAATTATCTTTATTACTTTTATTTTATAATAAATAACTTCTTTTATTTAGCTTAGTCTTAAAGAGTTAATATTCCTTTTTTAAGGTATTCTTTTACCTAGCCTTATAAATCTACTATTAAATCTCTTTTTTTTCTTTATTTAGTAAAGAGGATATATTATCTTTAGCCTTTTTAAAGAAATTATTAATTTCCTAGATTATATCTTTCCTTATTAGTATAATAAGGGGATATCTTAGAAGAGATTAAAAAGATAAAGAAGTTAAGATACTTCTTTTTTTTTATAATTTAGCCTTATTTCTAGTAATAGCTTCTATTCTCTTTCTAAGTAATTCTTTAATAAAAACTTTAGAATTATAATAGTTAAGTTAAATTAAGTAGAAAAGTAGAAAAGGAAAAAGGTAGGTTATATTACTTATTAAGACTAAAGCTTATTCCTTTTTTTCTTTTAAGAAATATCCCTTTTATTTTATAATAATTAAAAGGAAGATAATATATCTTTTTAATTAAAGTTTAAATACTATTTAAATAATAATTAAAACTTATATAAGTTAATCTTATTCTTATAAATCTATTTAAAATCTTAATTTAAGTTTAACTTATATATAGGTTTTATTAATCTTATAACTAATTCTTCTTTAGGCTAACTCTAAGTACTTCTTTACTTTATAGCTAATTAGTTATTTTATATAATTTATACTTACTATAGATCCTTAGCTACTATATATTTAATACTAGTAATACTAACTTTACTAGTAATATATAGTCCCTTAATTACTAGGGTTCCTTATAATTATAGGTACTAAATTAGGTTTAATTTAAATTATATATATTAGGGTATTATAAATTATTATATAATAGTAAATTAGTATATAAGAAAGGTTAGTTTTTATTTAGATAAAGGCTAGTAATAATTAGATATTATAGTTTTTCTAGTACTTATAAGTTTATTAAGGTATTAAAAAGACTATAAAGTCTAATTAAGGTAATATAATAAATAAATATATATATACTTATTTTAATACTATATAATATATTCTTTCTAGTCTTAATTTTAATTAATATTTACTATTAAGTTAAATTATATAATTTATAGAAATATAAAGATATTATTATTATTATTATTATTATTATATTATACTAATTAAACTAACTAGTTTATTTAGTACCTTTATAGCTTATAAGCTATAATACTAATAGCTAGGGAACTAGAAGGATTAGTAATAGGATTAGAAGCCTTCTTTTAATTAAGTATAGAAGTAAGAGATAATAGATAAGATATTATAAAGTAACTATATAGAGTTAGTTAATAAAGAATAATAGGATCTAGTAAAGAAAGGCTATAAGTATAAAAGAAGGGGATATAGAAGAGGAAGAAAAGGTAGAAAAGGAAAAGAAAGAAGATATATTAATAAAAATAAAGAAGATAATATTAATAATAAAGAAAAAAGAAAAAAAAATACCTTTTATTCTTTATTAGCTATTAGTTAGTAGTTAATAAGGCTTTAAATTACTTATCTATATAAAGTCTTATTAATTATAATTAAAATTAAAATAATAACTTATTAGCTATATATTAATTAATAAAAAAATAATAATAACTATAAGTATTTAAATAAAATATAATTAAAATTACTATTTAACTATAATTAAAAGCTAATAATTATAAAAAAATATATTTATTTATTTATTAAGTCTTATTATATAATATAAATTAATAATAATAAGAATTAAAAATAATCTTAAAAGTATAATTATAATATTCTTTATAGAATATATTTTAAATTTATATAAATAAAATATAAAGTATTAAGAATAAAAAAGAATAGTAAGTAAGAATAAAAGCTAGAAACTCTTAAAAAAAGAAAGAAATAAAAGTATTAAAAATATTAAAAGGCTATAATAGGAATTAAGCTTAATTTATTAAGACTAATAAGGTATATATAGAATAAGAAGTAAAGTTATTATATTATATAACTTCTATCTAGTTATATAATATAGGTAAGTATTAAATATACTAGGTAATAGGAGATTATTCTTCTAGCTTCTAAGCTACTTATTATTATTTTTATTTAATCTATATTAACTAGGAAAAATAACTAGAAAAATAAATAATAGAATAAAATAATAACTATAAGGAAAAATAATAACTACTATAGCTATTATAATATATTATAATAGTAGCTTAATTCTTCTACTTACTAATAGATATAATAGTATTTATTAGTATACTTAAGTTACCTTTTTCTTCTAAGTATAAGGTAGTTTATAGTTATATTAAATATAAAGTAGCTTATAGTTATACTAGGTATAGGGTAGCTTATAGGGGGCCTTATTATTATATTAAGGGCTTTATAACTATTATATTTTCTATTTTTTACTTATAAGGTAATTTAACTTAAAAACCTATATAAATAAATTTTATAGAAAATAAAAATTATATTATAAACTATATTTAATAAAGGTATCTTATCTTAAAGGCTATAGAATATATAAAAAACTACTAACTAAGGTATACTAAGTATTATACTAATACTAAGTATACTATACTAGTATTATATTAATATTAAGTATATTATACTAATACTATACTAGTATTATATTAATACTAGGTATACTATACTAATACTATATTAGTATTAAGTATACTAATTAACTATAATAGTCCTAAAAGTAATAAAATAGTAATAAACTTATAAAGGCTTAGGCTTTTATAAGATTATAATTATAAGAAAGTCTTAATAGCTATAAGACCTATAAAGCTTTATAACTTATAGTTATAAAAGGCTTACTATAATACCTTTAAAAGGTAATACCTTAAAAGTATAATACTAATTAGCCTATAATAGTTCTAGAAGTAATAAGATAGTAATAGGCTATAAGGAAGTCTTAATAGCTATAAGACTTATAAAGCTTTATAACTTATTATTATAAAAGGCTATTATAATACTTTTAAAGGGTAATACTTTAAAGGCTTAATACTAATTAGCTTATAATAATCTTAAAAATAATAAAATAGTAATAAGTTATAAGAAAGCCTTAATAGTTATAAGACCTATAAAGCCTTATAACTTACTATTATAGAAGGCTACTATAATACCTTTAAAAGGTAATACCTTAAAGGCTTAATACTAGTTAGCTTATAATAGTCTTAAAAGTAATAAAATAAAAAGCTTATTAACTTTTAAAAGATAATACCTTAAAAGCTAATACTAATAAAGATATTAATAAAAAGCTTATTAACCTTTAGAAGGTAATACTTTAAAGGCTAATACTAATAAAGATATTAATAAAAAGCTTATTAACCTTTAGAGGGTAATACCTTAAAGGCTAATACTAATAAAGGTATTAATAAAAAGCTTACTAACCTTTAGAAGGTAATACCCTAGAGGCTAATACTAATAAAGGTATTAATAGAAAGCTTACTAGCCTTTAAAAAGTAATACCCTAGAGGCTAATACTAATAAAGGTATTAATAAAGAACTTACTAGCCTTTAAAGGGTAATACCTTAAAACCTAGTCCTAATAAAGAGTTTATTATAGTACTTATAGAAGGTAATACCTTAAAGGCTAATACTAATAAAGGTATTAATAAAAAGCTTACTAACCTTTAGAGGGTAATACCTTAAAGACTAATACTAATAAAGGTATTAATAAAAAGCTTACTAAATCTAGATAGCTTCTTAGGCTATATTATATTAAGAAATATACTTTACTTTAGTAGTTAAGTATATAATAATATTCTATAGCTTTAAGTATTAAGATATAATACTACTTCTTAAGGTAATAATAAAGCTATTAATAGATTTATATATTTATTAATAGCTAGTATAGTTAGTATTATAATAGACTTAAGGTCCTTTATTAAGTCCTATAAAAATAAGTTTATAGTTAATAATACCTTTAATATATTATAAAAGCTATTTTAGGCTAGTAATATATTCTACTAGTAAGGTAACTATAAATCTATAATAATAGCTAATAGTAAAATAGATATTAGGCTTAAAGTAGTTAGAAAGATAAATTAGGCTTTTATAGGTCTTAATATACTAGCTATTTTTAATAATTAGCTATAATTTAATACTTTTAATAATAAGACTTATTAGTAAGTTATAAGGTTTATAGTTAAAAAAGCTAGCTTTTTTTAAAAAGGCTTTAATATATTTATTTTAAAAGAGTATAAAGGTTCTTATATATTAGTCTTAATAAA